ATTTAAATATGTTAAATTTTGCATTGTTGATACATTGATTTTTGCACATGTACATTATGTTGAGTAGCAAAAGATTTCATTTGAAAAATTTTGATGTGATTTTAAAAAGAGGTTGCTATTGATGCAATTATAGAAGAAAATGTTTTGTAGCAAATTATTGATAGCTGCACTCTGAGAGCTGTGATGTTGGAGAATAGTACTGAATATGCCATGGACTGCCAAAAGTGCAGGGGGCAAAGGTGTCTGACTCTGCTAGGAGAAACAAGAATATATCTAGCTTCTAATGCTAAGACCTAGGGGCTCCTATCAGTGGTGGTCATGCTCTGATGTCCAGAGAAGACCCTTCTCTGGTGTGATATTCTTCCAATCTGAAGAACTTCAGAGCTACCATGCATACCCTTGCAAAGGGTCAGGGATATAACTATATTTTAATGAGTTCTTATTTGTAGAAGCCAATAAAGTGGATTCTTTTGATGAAATTGTAAGTACCAACTAAATCAATATGGATAGTTTAGGCAGAGCAAGAGAAAAATACGCTTGTAAAATGTTTTTTTTTCTCATTGTGTACAGTTGAATCAGATCTGATTAGCAACAGGAGGAGTTGACCCTCCTTCAGCAGAGCATCTGGAGGATTCAAACTGTGCGCCTTTGGTATTGCAGCGCACCTTCTTGCCATTAGGCTACCAGAACTCCTGTAAAATAATTTTTACAATATATGAATCTCAAATGAACTAAAAACCAAACTGACAAGGAACCATTTTCATTATACCCTCTACCTGCTCTTGAGGTGGAGATCTGAATTCCTTGGTTTTTCTGGCTGTGAGTGCAGCGGACATGTTTAAAGCTTGCATGACTTCATTATACCGGAAGCGTTGATTGTCTTGAAGTTTGGCTACAAAGTCATCTGAAAAGGCTACAATGGCTTCTATTCGGTGGCGGACCTGGCAGTCACAGAGGTACTGAAGCAGCAGACACATCTAAGAAGATTAAAAAGGTACCAAGTTAGATTAATGAATCCTTAAACATTAATGTATTTCATTCAAACAAATAGTGAACAGCAGAAGTGCTTAGTTGCCCATGTTTCGATATAAAGAAAATCTAATTTTGTGCAGGCAACAATGTTTTTGATCCCAGGGGATAAAACATAATTTGTCAAAACCAAGTATGACAGATGCATTTCTCCTTGGTGCATACTTATACTAGCCTTTCTTGCAGCTACAGAGAGTATGGCCAATAAGATATGTATGAAGTCAGCTACGGAGCTGTGAAAAATTTCCTATTACTAATAATTGGACATATAATCCTCTTTCAAATGAGTATTATCAAATTAGACAATATCATGTCTGGAGAAAAGAATAAGGCAGTATCTTACAGATTGCAAACGGCATGCAAATGGCCACAGACATTAAGGGCTGGCTTTTGATGACATCATTGACCTACTGTATCAGCTCTGGAACTCCCTACCTCTAGAAAGATTGTGTAAATTGATTAAATATTGTATTATTATTTATTAATTGGTTATCCAGGTATTCTGTTACCGACAACTTAAAGGCTTTCTAACTGACACAGTACATAGAAACATGCCTCTCGGGAAATTTCCTGCTTGAGATTAGAAACACATTTAAATTTTTTATATAAATACATTGTGGGGTCAAAGAAAACGGTCAGAAATTTGTACATAGTCATAATTGAACCAGCTCATGCCAACACTTTCTCTGAAAATGACCTTCAGTCCACCTCTCCTCTTACCCAGCACCATGAGACTGACACAAAGCAATAACGTCAATTATTGTGGACTGAAAAATTGAATAAAGAGTGAAAAAGTCTATCTATCAATGGTGTAACTACCAAATTGCACCCCACAAACCAGAGAGGTATTATGACAGGATTCTTTGACTTGTCTGTAATGTTCTGGGTCTTATTTGATAATGAGTACACCTACTGGCAACACATATTACTGAAAGTATATGGAGAGAAAATAGCTATTTATAGGCCATGCAAATGACTTGGTGATTCAAACCCATCAAGAGATGCCATAAAAAGCCTGAGGATCTGCTCTTATGAGATTAAAGCTAAGGAATCCCTATGAAACACCTTTACTGTCAATACATGGCATTTCCACAAGATATGTTCAAAGTGATTGCAACTAACAACAGTGGGCTAGTATACTATGCATTCTAACAAAATTGCTGCTGTAGGGGAAATGCAACTGCAGAAGCAAGAAGGGAGTTGCATGGAAATTGTTAAAGAACAGGAGAGAGAGGAACAGCTAGCTGGCAGGACAAATGCCCATGTCCTCTGCTCTTTTAGACCAATCCATATAAATAAAGCTGTGATGTCTATGGCAGACAAGCATATTTTTGATCAAGGAAAGCAACAAGGAAAAATAGCATTAGCATTTTTATAACAAAACGTCAGTAGATTAAATTAAAAATGTATTCATTCCATTCTCAGTCAAAGAGCCATGGGAGGTTAGTTTAATGAAGAAATCGAAGAAGACAATTTTCACTAAGTAAAATTCAATACCTCAGCCTGGGAAATTTTGCAATTCACTAATTTCCCTTTACCTGCAATTTGACTGGCTCTGGCAGTTTCATCTGGAGCAGGCCTTCCTTTGGCCTCTTGACCCCTTTGCTATCTTCTTCTCCAGCGCCTTCGAGCTTGCAGTCCTCTGGGCTGAGCTCCTGCTCCAGCACAGCACCTTCCTCCTCCGGAGCTGCAGCCTCCTTAAATACGCTGGGCTCAATCAACTGCAGGATGTGCTTCAAGTCCTCATTCTGGAAGATGCCCATAATAAGAAGGGTATAGAACAGCTTGATGAGAGGTACGAAGAGGAACTCAGTGGTCCCCCCAACTGGGTCCCGGGCATGAAGGCTGCTCTCTTTCACTGCCTCCGTTAACATCTGGATGGTTTTGGTCTTCAGAATGTCTAGGGGGAACTCTGGACTGTACTGGTAGCATTCATGACTGATGCTCACAAAACTAGGGGAGGAAAATTGCATCCGGGGCCTAAGGGAAGTGCTTAGGCCAATCCCAGGGAGACCATGTTTTTTATTTTCATCAGGAAAGAGAGTGATGCTCTTGGTCTCTTCCGTCATGGGAACAATAAACTCATTGTTCATCATAAGCCTGGCCGTGGCATACGAGCTAAGGTGGATGTCGATAAGGAGATCATAATAGCCTGCACGCAGCAAGCCTGGCATATACTTGTTCTCGATGGCATAGAGGAGTTGGGGCTCATCCACGTGGCTGCACAGGGCGTGGGCCACCCGGTGGTTCCCCAGGGCGCACACTGCTGAGTACAGGCGGAGAGTGTGGTAATGGAATTTCAGCAGTTCCTCCTGTTCTGTCAATTCCAGTATGTCCACAGATCTGTGTGGGCGAAAGGATATTGGCAGAAAGATTCAGAATGGAATATTTTTTAAAATCTACATCTGAAGAGTAATCTCTTCATATAACAGATTTTTAAAGATTACTGAAGTTTCTCTCTCATTGTCATTGAATCCGGTCCAATTCACAGCTTACATGCCACCGGGTTTCCAAGGCTATAACTTACATAGGAGGAGATTATAATTTTTCTCCTGTGGAGCTGCTGGTGGGTCTGAATCACCAGAGAGGTACAGTCTTTGGGTTAGCTGCAAAATTCCCTACGGACTAGGTCACCACAGACACTCCTTGAAGTAGACACTATGAATGACATTTTCCATTTGGCAAGATAAAGTCTCTACTGGATTTGGTATTTATACTGAGCTAATATTAATTTCATTTTCCTCTCCCAGTACACATCCAGTCCTTTCAGTCCATAAAACTTCCAAATTATAGAAAAGGCTCTTATGCTATGAGCAGAGATCACTACTCAGAAGTCATATAGCTCTAAGCATGGCAGACTCTTAGATATTATGAACCCAAGACATTCCTTAATCTTTGAATCCAGGCCTCATGTTCCATGATGTCAACTTTTAGCTAAATAAAACAGAATGGCTCACTAAAGAAAAATTCCAACCATGAGACTGTGTACCTCTAGAAGAATAATCTATATGAGTCCTAATGCAGAGGTATGAAGACAAGAGGCAGAAAAATTAGATTGCTGGAAACACAACCACCATAAGGGAAAAAAATAAGTAAAATTATACATTGCAAAAAATATAGCCAATGTAATGAAACAAACTGTAGAAATCATTGTTGTTGTTAAGTGCCGTCGAGTCATAGGCAACTCATAGCAACCCTATGAACAAAAGACCTGAACACTTGTATAACTTCCATCATTTCTCCATGTTCATAGAGTTTCCAGAGGCAAGCTATTTTGGAAATGGATGCTATTCTTGCTTCCAAGCTTGTTTTAATCAGGGGACAGGGGGGCTCCACCAAACACGGATAACCATTATCACATTTGACACATTACTGTCACAGTGTTTAGTATAGTAGAATCTAGCTGTGTGGAGAAGGTGCAGCCAAAGTGTTCCTTGGAGGCAAAAATAACAAAGCTTTGCTTCACATACTACGGGCATGTTACTAGGAGAGGTTATTTCTTAGAGAGGAGTATCATGCTTGGAAAGTCTGAGGGTCAGTGAGAGTGAGATTCTCAAGGAGATGGACTGACACTGACTGCAGAATGGGCTTGAGTATTTCAGAGATTTGAGAATGGCACAGAACAGGACAGGGTTCAGATATGTTGTTTACAACAGATACAACACATAGGGTTGTTGTGAGTTGTACGGGACTCAACATCACCTAACAAAAGCAACTTGCTCTGTAAATTTCCACTAGAAAGACGGTGAAATATTTTGATAATAACAAAAAGAACAAGTAGTTCCTTAATATGAACTGAAGTTCCCCAAGTTATATATTTAAATAATTCATTTGTGTCGATGAATCCCTAAATGTAGGAATCTAATACATTAATAAACAAAGAATGATTCATTCATCTAGAAATGTGTTGTGGATGAGACCTGTTCTCCATGTTGTTGTTGTTTTGTACCATTGAGCTGGAACTGATCCATTGTTGACCCTCTAGAGGGTTATGAGAGGCAGTTAAACTGTACAGAGGGAGACTGCCCATCTTTCTCCTATGGAAGGAACAGCTCATGGATTTGAACCACGTCTTCAGGATTGCCACGCAGCTCCTTACTCCAGACTCCTGGGGCTGCATGAGAGTGATGAAATTGGTATTATTCTTCTATTTTTAACACTTAAGTGTTTTGCTTACCACAGTTCATTCAGAACATCACACCTAAAATGGTGTCTAAGAGATAAAAATCAGTTATAGATGACTTCATTCCAAGTCATAGTGGCATTATGTATGTGAGAGTTGAATTATGCTGTAAAAAGTTTTAGAAAATTGCTGATTTTTTAAACAGCAAAGTATTTTTACTCAAATAATATGTATGCTCTTCATTTGTTGGCCAACTGCATCCTCTTTCACTATTTCCTTTGGTATACTCAGATTTGTTTCCACTTAGACGGAAACAACTGATAGCTAATCTTCCAGCAAGTTTTCAGAGGTTATAAATGACACAGGAGGGTGTTGTTCATCTTTCTCCCTGGAGCAGCTGGTGGATTTGAACTTCATAACCATGCCATGAAGGAAATGGTTTCATGTAATCAACTTGCCACTAAGTTGCTGGCTTTTCATCTTCAAGCTATTCTCTAAGAATATTGTTGGTTGCACTGCAAACTCAGTGGTCTGTGGTTTGAATCCACCAGATGTTCTGCTGGAGAAAGAGGAGTAATCTCCTCCTGTACCTGTCAGATTCGATTTGATGGCGCACACACACACACACAATTAAAAAATAATATTCTTGGCTACTCTTTAGTCAGTTTTGGTATCTTCTGCTGAAAATTTAATAATTAGTAGTGGTTGTAGCAAATTGGCCTTGTTGAGTGGAGGTCATGTTGCTGAGCCCATGTATAATCACTCTTGTTCCATCATGGAAACTTTGATCCTAAGCCCATATACAGTAATATCAGTGGCTAGAGAAAGAGAATGATTGATTTTCACAGAACACATCATCCTATCTACTTGATTGTTAAAATCCTCCCATACCAAGGTCATCCTTTGATAAGCTTTCCCACAAGACACAAATATCTTCACTTCTTTAACCCATTCAAAGAGTTCTATCCTCTTTGCCATATTTCCTTGTCACTCAATTCTCAATCCTGTTTTTTCTAAGTCCCTGAACACTCATTCAGACCATTGACCAAAACTCACTTATCAGTATAATATAAGCACATATCTGGCCATTTCTCAAAAGAAAAGTGAATAACAAGGTTCACTGTTTGAAGTCCTGCCCACTAGGGTGACTCCTCTCAGCACTATCCACTTTAGAAGTCTCAGAAAGGAGCTGCCTTCTGTCCTCCTTGGGCTCAGTTTTATACTTTCAGGTCTTGCTCAAACCCTATTTTTTAAATACCACTTCCACATAGTGATGTGCACATCCAATTTTATCATTATGTCAATCAGACAATATTCAGTTCATGCTGGGTGACTGAGGTCACATAGTGACTTGTTGACACATGGTTAAGTATTCCATACCTACTAAGGCCCAGTCACAAGACAAAAGTTGCCTAATTACTGCACCACAACACAGCTGCAGCTAAGTTGAGTGGTGTTTTCTGTACATACCTTTGGGATCCAGTTGTTTAACTATGTTGTTTGGGTCTTCTGTATGAGTTTTTTGGATTTTTTAAAAAAAATTCTCTTTACTGAGGAAAAATAAATATACCATACAATGAACATATTTAAATTATATGATTCAATAGTTTCAGTTTATTCATAGTGCTGTGTGCCCACAATCATAACTGGTGTTTAGATAATTGTTATCACTCCAAAAATAAACTAAAAAGTCCATTGTCACTGAGACAAATTCATACTTACAGCCCACCTGCAGAACAACCTCCCAGGGTTTCCAAAGCATCTAAAAAGTAGACTATCACTACTTTCTTCCATGGAACATCTGATGGAATTTGAACTGCCACCTTTCAATTAGCAGCTAAGCATCTAAACACTGTTCCACAAAGTATCCTCTAAAACGAAACTCCATATCTATTATGAGTTAATGGTCATAAACCATTTCTACTCCTCAGAAGTAGACAATTACTTATCTGCTTTCTCTATACATGGGTTAATTAACATCTTTTGTATGTACATTGTTTCTGTGTACCACTAATCCATAATTGACTCATGGCTGACCCTTTAGAAGGTTTTCAGAGGCTTTAAATAACAAGGGAGGAGACTTCCTATCTTTCTTTAATGAAACACCTGGTGGACTCAAACCATGCGCCCTTGGGAAGGCAACACAAATCCTTAGCACTAAGCTATCAGATGTCTCTTCTATGTACATAGGATCATATAATATATCTCTGTATGACCTCTTTCATTTAATAAAATGTTTCTTAGATTGAACCACCTAGTAACAAGTATCAGTATTTCATTCTTTTGTATGGGTGAATAATAATCCACTGTATGTTTATATGATATTTTATTGACCTACTCTTCTGCTGATAGGCATTTGAGTTATTTCCACCTATGAGGATTTTATAAGTGGTGTTGCAATGAACTTTCATGGACAAAGTTTGGAAATTTTCATTTCTCTTGGGCATATATGTTGGTATGGAATTGTTAAATCACATCACACTCAGTCAATTATCACATCCAAATAGGGATTTACTCACAGCTGATACTCCATTGGATTTCTTAAGCTCTAAAATGTATTGGGACAGTGTGTAGGGGTTAAGCTGACCAAGGCAGGAATTGCCAGGGTTAATGGTAAAATACAAAACAAAACCCCCAAACAAAACACCAAACCTGCTCTGTGACAGTATAGCCTTGATTCTCACATTGAAGCTGCCACCTGATAAAGATATGATTATGGAAACAGGGAGAGTAGCAAATAAGAGAAGAAACAGTAACAAAAAAACCTCAAAAAACTTGGGAGTCCAGTTAATATATTTTACTGTGTGTGTAAAACTTCTCAATAAAAGCTATGAAAATGTACAGGTTTGGAGGACACTCAACCCTAAGTTCCTTTTCTCTTTCCTCTTGACTAAGGAAAGTCTTGAGTAGTTCATTCTTATCACCCAGCACTTTCCTGTGCCTCAGGAAATAATGGTGACCCCGATGTGAGACTGGAAGAACGGTGATCCTAACCACACAGAATTAAAAGTGAAATTGCCTGGACTACTGCATCTCATTAAGAGACAGAACCAAAGAGCATGCTTTCATCTCAGTAAGACAGTGCCAGGGAGCACGTCCATGTGTAGGTATGGAAAAAAAGCTGAATGGTGCCTCATCATGTGTTTCACTGGGTCACTTAAACTTGCTGGCTCATACTGCTACCTCATCTTTGATTCCTGGATGATGTCTGCCCTTCCCCTGCAACTACAGTCTGAGCTGTCTAGATTATAACTCAATGAAGTTCTTTTGCAGTTGCTGTTTCTCTAAGTGGTGTTGTACTATTTTACTTTATTTTTTCCACTGCTGCTGCAAACTATCCTACTATCTCGGCTGTGTGAGTATGTGAACATAATTAACTTTTTAGATCCAATTCTGATAAAGAGGGAACCTATATAAGTAGCTCCTTAATCCTACAAATTGGCATTAAGTTAGCAGGATCTAAAAGGTTAATATGCCTTTCTTAAGAAGTCTAAAGTAACATGTGTTGTTTTGTGTTTGTGACATTCTTTGGTAGAAGGATCTGCTTTATCTACAGCAACTCCAAGATTCTACATCAATACTAGGGACCACTACTACCATGGAGCTCCCAAGGACTGAGTCTGTCAGGAAAGTGTAGGCCATTAGAAGGCAGAGTGTCCAGAATGTCCTAAAACAAGGAATGCTGTTGACCTCCTTCAAGACCAGTAAAGCACCAGACTTGCACCCTAGCAATAACACAAGTGATAGTAGAGCATGGCTGATGAGTTCAGAGAGTTGTATTCCCTTGACAGATGGGAATCAGAACCCCCACCCTACCAACTGAACCCTGAGTTGTTGCTGACATAAGGGTAATATAATATAGCTATTGCTTAATGCAAAAGTAGTTTTCACAGTTTTTAGTCTTTTAAGGTCTATTCCTATACCCCACCAAAGGTGTAAAGTTAGAAGTGTAAACACAAAGAAATAATAATTTCAAAACAAACACTTTCACTTTGAACATTTTTGCAGAATTTAAGATAAATCTATCTTGCATCTTCTTGTTTATATGCCTGAGGGCTCAACACTAGACTCATCAAGATCAAATCTTACTAACCAGCATTTTATATATAAAATAAAAAATACTGATAATACAAATCATTCCAAAGATATAGAATACCTCCATAACAAAGAACGGCAAAAACAATAGCAATTGTAGATAGTAAAAAATAGCAAAAAGGAGATATCTTTAATTCAAGACCAGTTTATCTTCACCTACAAAATAACGAGGATTCCTAAGATTGTGTAAGAAACATCTGCACATCTCCATCACTTGCCATAGTATAGTTCATAAAAAATTATTTTATTTTCTGCTGTTAGTTTCATTGTACTAATGTCATTATATTAACTATTAAAGATATTTCTCTGTTACCAGATTATGTAGCTGCTCTAATTATCCACCCACAAAACAAACATATAAACAAACAAACAAACCATAAACTCCAGAAGTTTCAGAAAACCAGTAATGTTGGTAAAACTCCTAAAGGTTGTGTAAGTAAATTGAATGAAACTTGTGTACTTCCTGAAGCCAAAGTGCAAACTTACTCTATGTGTAAGTGGTGAGGAAAATGTCAATCTTTGTCAAAACTGATCAAACAGGTGTAAAAGGCATGAAAGTTTGTAAGAACGGATTAAAAAATTGTAGAAATCACAAGAAAGTGCATGCACAATTTAATGGGTGGGTGGGGTAAAATAAATTGGAAATATCTTTTGTGAAAAACAATGTTTACAAACTTTGTAAATAAATCAGAGTAATACAAATAAATAGAAAAAAAGAAAGTGCATGCAAATCAGTGGCTGACTAAAAAGACAAAAAGAATACTATCTTTTTAGACACCCCGCCAAAAAGAAAGAAAGTAGTTTGGTCTTAAAGTAAAAGGTTTAATTATTTTTCAGTAAAACTAATGTCTAGCAGTAGAAGTGAGTGAATAAAGTGTAAGAAAAAGGCAATTTTATTTTAAGTGATTAACTGTTCTGCATAGTCTTTAAAATGAGGAAATCCGGTCAAATCTCTTGAAATATTTCTTAGTTCAAGATACTCTTAAAACAACAACAAAACCCAACAAGGAGTGCCCCTACTATAACTGCTAAGATCTTGTCTTTCTAACATGCTTTCTAACTTTATATCTTGCTGACAATATTACAGATAATCTGAACATGGAACCTCATATGAGTTCCCAAATCTTCTGCAGACCTTTGGGTCAGCCTCCAATGAAAGGAGCCAAATGTCTGTTCACAAACTATCACCCCTTCCAGCAGGAAATAGAGTGGTCATTGTCCCCACCTCCCCTAACAGCAGTTAGAGCTACCCACCCAGAAGAGATTGCAGGTCCCAAAATAAGAAGAAACTCTCCATCACATGGCCTAACCAGCAAAACTTTTTTTTTTAAACCTTATGTCCCTTTATTGGCTTTACTTGTACTTGTTGTATAAGGTAAAGAATATAGTTTCCACCCTTTAAAAAAACAAAAACAAAAACAAAAAAATCAAACAAAAAAAACAACCCTGTAAAATAAAGCCAAGAAGGGGGAGATGTAAGGATTAAGCTAAAAGTAGCTTAATGACCAAAGCAGAAACTGCCTGGATGAAATATAAGACAAACCTCCTCCCCTGGGATGGCATAACCTTGATTCTCGTGCTGAAGCTGCCTTTTGATAAAGACATGGCTATGGAAATAGGGTATATCAGCAAATAAAAGAAACAGTAAAAAAAAAAATCTTGGAGTCTTATGTAACAAGAAATCTCAATAAAAGCTTTAAGGATGTACAGGTCAGAAAGAAACTCAACCCTAAGCTTCTCTCCCCTTGCCTCTTGACTAAGGAAAGTCTTGAGTAGTTCATTCTGATTGCCTCGTGATTCCCTGCTGGTCAAAGTGCAACAACAGTGCCCATCTATTTCATGAGGAGACCCTGGTATAGTCAAACAGCCAGAAAACCTCAGCCTTTGAATAAGCAGTACAACTGTATATGGACTATGCCAGTAGAGTGTTTCTCAATTATATGGAAACTCTGTATTTAACAGTTTGAGGAACTGCCAAACTCTTCTGAAGAACAATTACATTTATAAGGTATTAAAAATAACTGTCAAGTTTCTCCGAGAACTTTATGATTGACACACCTCTTGCAATTGTTTTAGGGTTAAAGTAACTGAAACAAAAACAAAACAACAAAAAACAAACCCTCACTGCCAGTGAGTCACTTCCAACCCATAGTGATCCTAAATCAGGTATTTTCGGCTGTAACTCTTAACAGGAGTAGACTATCCATCTTTCTCCTGCAGAGGTAATAGTGGATTTGAACCAACAGCTCAAGATAAATGCTTGTGGTGAGACACACATAACCCTATGGATTACACCAGCAAAGTTCCAATACATTGATATATTGTTTTAAGGCAATATTTCTACTCAGTTATGGTGTGGAAGGAGAAGCATTCTAAAGTCTAGAACTTAGCTTACAGTGATAATAAGGAAGCTAAAATGAAATATCTACAACTTAATAGGCTATATAACAGAAACACTAAAAACCATAAGCAATTCTACTTTTGAATATGAATGACAATTTATATAATTACTGCCTCGAAAACAAATAAACTTGTTTTCAAGACCTGTAACATATTTCCAGCTTTGTTTAATTAATATTACCAGTCTCAATTGCTCATATCTGTAAAATTAAAGGGTTGAACTAGTGAATTCTCGTTGTTGTTGTTATGTGCTATTGAGTTGAAACTAACTCGTAGCTGACTCTCCAGAGGATATAAGTTTCACAGGAGACAACCTATCTTTTTCCCACAGAACAGCTTATGGATTTAAACTGCCTACCTTTTGGTTGGCAGTGCAATTACTTACCTACTAGACAATCAGAGCTCCCAAAAATCTGGTAGTTCTTATGAGCTCCCTCTAATATTCTACAACTCTGTGGTGTTAGAGTAATTTGTTACGTGCACAGATGCACTTGTCTGGAATCTTCTTGGTAGTTGATACAATAAGTAAAATAAAAGTGAATAAAGAAATTCCACATTGTCTTCAATGGTAGTATAATATTTTTCACAACTAATTTAGTGTTTAGAAATAGATTTAAACTTAAAACATTCAAAATTATTTCTATTATTTAAAAGTATTTTTCAAATCTTTATGAATATTATGCTTGTTTGTTGTTCCTTCTAGCTCCAAGCCCTGAGTGGTGGGTGGCCCACTGACAAGAACCCACCCACTACTGGATACATGGAACTAACCTGTTCTCCTCTGGAATATGCAGGGACATGAACTGCAGAGGATCCAGACACTGTACAAGCCAGCCCTGACGTTCACTGATTCGAGAGACATCTACCTTCAAAAACTGGTTTGGCATTCGGCTCCACAGGACATGTGATAAAAACTGCACATGGAGACGAGGAGGACACTGTGGCACAGGGTTTTTATGCTCACTCTTGAATAGCCCAGCTGACAGAGGCATTACATTCTAGAGAGGATGAAGCAGAAGAAGAAATAGTTTACAGTATCCATTGGGAATAATAAAGTAATGACCAGGCTTCTGCATGGGAAAGAGACAACAAGAGTAAGAGAAATTATGAGTTAAGTAAAATTAGTATGTGAAATAATATAAACTGGATTGAAAAGTTCATGATATGGCAAGCAGAGAAAACACCATTAAATAAAATATCTGACAACTCATTAGGCAAGAAGCTGCAGTGTTTGTGATACTAACTTAAAGGTTAGCAGTTTGAACCCATCAGCTGGTTTACAGCAGAAAGGTGGGCAGGCTCCTTCTATAATGATTTACAGCTTGGTACACCTGATGAAGGTCATTATGAGTTAGAATCAACTTCATAGCAGGGAGGTTGAATCTGGTAAACAAACAAGTCTTGGGATCTTTCTTTCGTATATGCCCAAGGGCACACCAAGAATGTAAGTATACCCAGGTATCTCCATTTGATCCTAACAGTTCTACACCAAACCTGTCTGTCAGGTTAACTTTGTGCCATTATCTGCTCTTAGTGGTCAATTTGCTGAAAGAGCATTCATATCCATTTGACTGTTTTTTGTGGGGGTTTTTTGCTATCCCTGACACCTATCCCATCTTGAACTACTCACTATAACCAGTGGTGTATCAAAGACAGCACTAAAGATAAACCTGTTACTTGAAAAAAACCAAATTAGTAAGGCATTAAGTAACATAATTTCTTTCTCCAACATCATCTTTCACCTTCAACAATGTGTGGTCCACCATCTTCACTTCTCTAAGCCTAAGCCAGCAGCCATTGACTCTACTCTGAGCCATAGTGTCCGCATATGTGTAAGAGTGGAACTGAGCTCCAAAGGGGTTCCTGTGTGGATCTTTCAGAAGCAGGTCAACACGCTCATTTTAAAGCACCACTAGATGAATTCAAACCTCAACCTTTCTGTTAGCAGCTGAGCTCAGTGACTGTACCACCAAGAACTCTTCTGTAAGCCGAGTTTCACTGAAAGAGAAGAACCTACTTTTAAAACAAAACTTATAATATTCTTATGCTGTGTCTGCCTGCCAACCTTTTGTAAAAGCATACACAATAATTATTGAGAATTTCTCCATATGGTCAGTCTTTCCCTCTCCTCTAGAAACCTTCTCTAATGATTTCTTTGAACTTGCTCATTCCCATGGTAGTGTCATAGTGGCTTCCAATAATGTTGTCGTCATCGTTATGTGCCATCAAACAGAAACCAATTCATTGCTGATCCTCTAGTGGGTTTTCAGAGGTATAAGTTACACAGGAGGAGAATGCCCATCTTTCTCCCTCTGAGAAGCTGGAGAATTTTAACCAATTGCCTTTGTGTTAGCAGCACAATTCTTTACCCATTAGGCCTCGAAAGCCCCAACTTCCATTAAAAGGAGGAGATGCGATCCAATCAATCATTCTTTCTCTTTCTTTTTCTCCCTCCTCCCCTCCCACCCTCACCCCTCCCCTTCCTTGCCATCTACTTACCTACCTATCCATGCATCCATTCACTCATCCTTCCTTCCTTCCTTCCTTCCTTCCTTCCTTCCTTCCTTCCTTCCTTCCTTCCTTCCTTCCTTC